ATTAACCACCCCTCAGTAGTAGCCTTCTAATTCTGGCCTCCTGATTTGCTTCACCAACATTGGCTATCTGATTTGACCTGAAACATTGGAATTCCTTCCTTACACCTCACTTTCCTTAAGATATTTTAAAAAATAGTTTCTCTCCTATTTCCTGATATTTCCTTTCAAAGTACATCCTGTCCCTGAGTCCTACTTCTTGCTCACAATACCCTTTTCCCTCTAAACTGCTGACCAACGAACTTCTAATCCTTGCCCCCATATTTCACTTGCTACATCACTCCTGATGATATGCCATGGCCTCTTTTTGTACAACTTTGCTAAAATCCTGAGTTTTTTTTAAATGTTGTTTTGGATAAACCTTTCCCTTGATTTATCTTGGGAAACCAGGTGATGGAGAAGTTTAATTGTATGCTTTGGCACTGAGCTTGGAGGTTATGAAATTTAGTGTGGGAAGTTTTAATGTGACATGGCATGAGACAGATTGCACTCCTGTGAATTGCTTTGGGATATTTCACTTCAATAAATGTGGTAAATTAATACAAGCCATTGTTCCCATTCTTCCACATAAATAAGGGATCTAACTCCCATTTTAAGCACCTGTGGGAAATAAACTCTACACTACAAGACCTGCTGTATTTTGGATTTTGAGTCACTGTAGCAGCTATGAAGAAAACAAATATGAAAAAATAAAATGAAAATTTCAACTGGAGAAAGGGCATGGCTGTCCTGCTCCCACAATATCCCAATCATTGCACTCAATCCTTTCTACCTAGTTCACCCCTTTGAAAACTTTAAGTCAATGAGGACAGGGCAGTAGTCTAAAGGCATACCTTCTATTAGAGGGATTGGCTGTGGAGGAACTCACCCAATTATTTTTAATAAAGTCAAAGGCCCAATTTCAGTTTAGAACTTCATGCTTCAGTTTAAGTTGTTGGAAGCGTTGACAGCAGATGACTTCCACTGTTGTAATTTTTCCTGACAATTTATTTATAATATTACATAAAAGAAAAAATAAGGAATGCACAAGTGAGTTGAAAACTGGTTTATTTCAAAATAATTGCTGGTTTATGAACTTTTTTTCGAAATGCTTAAACACGGATAAAATGCCTGGTCTGCTTGATGCTCGGATTGCACTGAATACGAGATTGTATCAACATGAGAACAGTAGGGGTAACACCTGTGGAGTAAGATAGGTCCTGTCCTTTTCATCAGTGGGGGTGGAAGTGAAATAATGGCTCCTGTGAGGTGCAAGGAAGTGGGAAAGAAAATATTTTTCATAATTAAAATAATAAAAATGACAACGTTGCAATTGAATTGGTTTATTTAACAATTTTCTGTTCCTTTAAAAAAAATACAAAAACAACTTCACAGTAACACTTTGATACACATTTTAATTTTATAAAAATTAAGTTAATGCTGAACCTACTGTTGAGTTAGCCTAAAGGTTAAATCTACAGCTATTCAAAAATCTCAATAATAAAAAAATTAGTATTTTCACCTTACTTTTTTTCCTGCCCTCTCCTCCCATAGAGATTAATATTTTTTGTTCAAGTATGGTTCGACCACTAGTCATTATCCAGTACCTCAACTAATAGATGAATGCTCATATAGATTAAAATGAAGTAGCTCACTGTTTAAGTCACATTTCACAACTTTTAAACCACCATTAAGTTTGTTAATTCGATTTAAAACTTAGCTTATGTAGCCACAAACAAGTCAAAAAGGCTAATAGAAGTTAGTCTTCATCTCAAGAAGATTGGCACCCAAAAACAAGGAAGTTACGCTTGAAATATAATCAAGATTCAATCATATCCCATCTGCTATATTGCATTCAGTTCTGGGCACATGCACACACATATTCCAATGCGATATGTATGTGGATATGTGTGTGCAAAACAATGGTGTTGAAATCACAGATTGATAATTAACTGTTTAGGGACCATTTATGAAGACAAGTTCATTCCATCGCATTTTAGGTGGTCTAATTTGAGGTATTTAAAATGATAGAATTCAAAACAAAGTAGATACAGAAAAGCTTTTTCCTTTGGTGGAGATATCCAGAAAGAAGTGAGGGAAACGATGGTGCAAAACCATTCAGGACCAAGTCAGGGAATATTTTTCAGTGGAAGTGTGGAATTCTCTCCCCTCCTATTTCCCGAATGCTGTGAATGTTGCTCCAATCGAAATTTGCAAAATAGCAATTGACAGATTAGCTAAGTTTCAAGTACGATAAAAGATACTGAAAAACCAAGTCTAAAATGAACAGCACAGTCGGCTCAAGGCTACTCAATCACTGCTGTACTGGACTCATACCTAAGTCACTGGTTCAAGCCTTGGTCAATAAAACTTCAGCTGTTAGCTTACTTGGTATTCCATGGTGAATCCAGCACTTAGGCTTTTCCCTATTATCCAGAGACAGAAACAATTAGCTAGATATAGCTTAAGAGGCATCAATGTGGGGTAAGCCAAGGAAGCCTAGCTGAGATTGAAGCTGCATCATTGAGATTCTACATCACTCTGTACCCGTCTAGCCAACTCAGGATGGATAGAATGTCTTTTTTAAATAAAATGATTCATTTGAAACATAGTACTTCAGCATGCACACTACCTCAGCATCAGAACAGGAATGTTAGTCTGTCCAGTGTTCAAGTCTCTGGAGTAAGGCTTGAACCCACAGTTTTTTGACTCACAGCCAAGGGTGCTAATCTGCTGAACCATGGCTGATATTCTAGAATCCAAGAGCAGTGTAGGACACCATTTGGAAAAAAAAAAGACAAAAAAGATGAGTAGGTAGTAGGGAGACTAGGTTTTACAAAAGGTGAAGATTTCCAATGGGATTAAGAGAAAATTGAAAAAATAATTTTTGGCAGGTCCCCCTGCAACTGGATTCAAAGTTTAAAGGCTGTTTTCTAAATTCCATCCTATAACCTAGTTTGTAAACAATACTGCTGATGAAAAAGCTCAAAATTACATGTCATCATTTGATACGTTGCTGGTGGCCTCAATATAATTCAGTTTTTATAACATCTTATCAGCACAGATTAAATTATCCCTATTAACCAGGGCAAAACACTGCTTACAAAAACACACACAAAAAAGAAATGCATTATGTGATGTTTCCATGATTAGTGACCAATGCGTTTTGGTCACCATTGAAGCATTTCAAGAAGTTTCCGAGTACAAGGTTCAGAGTAGAATTGTCATTCTAAAATAATCAAATAACATTTGTTCACTTCTCATTTTCTGCTCTTTTGGAGTACTCAGTTTAATCAACCCCTCCCCAACTGAAACAAACAATGATGAGTGGTGTTGTGAATTTCTAGTGGCCAATTATGGTGTCAACTCTCAGCTGTAGCCCAATCAATACTGGGTCCATTCTCTGATGAAAAGGGGCATGTATACATGCTTGTAGGTGGTAACTTTCTTGCACTTCCTAACAAATACAAATCAAAATCTAAGATGTTTCAGCAACAAGTTACACTATTCCTCCATGGTCACCTTACTTCTATACTTATAAAGTTCCATGCACTGACTAAACACCTATAATAATCACTAAAACATAATCTTCATCATGGCTGAACTCCCCAGGCTCTTACTGTTCCTGGCATCAATACAAATTACTTATCTGTTCATGATTTTCATTCTTTAACCTTCATTTTATAAAAATGGATAGTCAAATACAGATGTTACTTTGCAGTTACTCAAATCATACTCAAATTTACACAAAAGTCTACGTACAAAAAAAAACTGAACTGGGCTGTTGATTGACAATCTGACAAAACAGCCTATTCATAGGGTCTACTTTCTATGTAATGCACTGTTTTTGTTCAAAGTGGAAGCAATTGTAATTTGTGCATTATTGTAAATGCTGTTTATAGTTGTAAAGTACGAGGCAAAAGGTCATAAAGGCCAAGGTCAAAATGGATTTCTATAGGAAAATCAACAAGAGATTACGAGAGTTTGTTTTCAACTAATGACTAATAATGTCGGATGTTGAAAAAGCCGACACTGGTTGGACTCTCCTTCACTGTTACCGTGACCAAGTTGGCTGTTACATCAGTGACAAACACATGCTCAATCAGACTGCGGGTGGGTTTCCAGTCTTGGTTTGTCTGGACTGAAATGGATGGGTTTGGAATTACACTTGAAAACGAAGAGTCATGATCAGAGTCCGAACTCATTGTCTCCTCACCTGTGCTCAGCTCTGTTGGCAAGGTGCTGCTTTGTTTTGATATCTCAGATGAAACATCCTTTTTGTCAGTGTCTCGGATTTGGTTGTCAGAATGATGAATTGCAGTGTTTGTAGTCTCCTTATCTGGTTTAATCTGATTCTCCTTCTCAACACTATCTTTTCCACTGCTCTCACATAATGCCTGGCTATTGACAGCCTGTGAATTTAATACTTTATTAGAAACAACATGAGAGTTCAATTCAGTTGAATTCAGTCCTGGAGTGCCAACACTTCTAGAGATCACAAACGACAAACTATTGTTGATGTTTTTTGAAGTCAAACCCGATGGACTAGATCCACTTTTTGAACTCAATCCTATTTTGTTGGTATTTTGTAGATTTAAGGCATGTGAATTTAATCCTGAATTAGCGTTCTGAGAGTTTGGTATTTGTAAATTCCGCCCAAGAGTACTAGGACATTGACCATTTGCACTTTGGGAATTTGATCCTGAATTAGATGAATTACAAACACCAGAACTGGACTTGATTGGTCCAGGCATATTCAAACCCTTTGAGTCGCAGTCTGATTTGCATAACTCTGAGTTTTTAGCATTTCCTGGATTCTTAATTAATCCAATCTTATTTTTCTCATTCATTCCCTGTGAATTCAGCGGCATTGTATTCCCAGACTGCATTTCAGAGGCAGTCTTATTCAGTGCCATTGCACTGGCAGGATGTACGCTAGATAAATGCTGGCCTGATCCTGTACTGTTTGCTACTTGCAAGGCTGCCCTGGGATTACTGGATTTTGCTGAATTAAAGATGTTTGAATTTAACATCCCACTTGATACGTTTACAGATTCCAAAGTACTCCTTTCTGAGCCCATGTTATTTTCACTCAAAGGTCCCTCTGGTTTTTCCAGCTTCTCTTTTGACGATTCATCTGTTCCAGAGTCACCACTTGTATCATTTCCAGATGTTTTCAATGTTTTTCCTGGTTTAATTTTTATGTTCTTCCGAGGTTCAGGGCAAATTACTTTGCTGGTCCGTTTTTTTTTGCCAGTGTCCTTCAGATCTGTTTTAGTTTGGCTGATTTCAGTTTGGATCCGTTTTTGTGGGATACGTTCAGATTCTTCCCGCCGCTCATTGCTGCGAAGTGTGGTCGGTGCCTGATCATCACTTTCCTCTTCCTCCTCCTCCTCCTCCTCATCATCCTCCTCATCATCATCCTCTTCAGAAGAGCTACTTGATTTTGAAGAAAGGGGAGCTTCTTGTTCCTAGGCAAAAACCAAAACAAAAAAAAAAAGAAGAGGACAAAAGCCAAGCTTGCTCCTAGAAATTTCCACAAATAAAAAACAATTCGAGGTGTTGGAAATCTGAAACAAAAGCAGAATATGCTGAAAGCACTCAAATCAGACCACATTTTCAAATGTACAGGCAAACTGGGCTCATTGAAACTCAGAACGTTCAAAGATTCTTAAGTGAAGCTCATTGTTCTGTTCACGATGCCATGTTTGAGCATTTACAGCATTTGCTTTTGCATTTTTAAAGATGCACATCTATTATTGTTACAATTGAAGTGTTATCAGTGTATGAAATTTAGCCTTTTATCAGAAATCAATTTATGGTGAAGACAATATTCCAATAACAAAAGCTTATTCACCCAAGAAGTCTTGCAAATCTGCACCATTAATAATTGATTAGCAATTAAAACCATGGAATATTACAGGAGAACTAAAATTAATTTGCGCTGAAAGCTAAAGATGTTAATTCTGGAAATGTGAACTGCCTTTAATAATGTTTTCTTTCAGTATCAAGTTCATATGCTAGTTCCAGATTAAAGCTATTGCTATTGGGACTATTTTCTTAGCATCCTTTGGAGATAACAAAACCTCATGCAATAGAAGAGAATGATTTGTGGGCAAAATCATCCTGAAATATACTAGCAGAAGGCGAGATTCCCTATATGTGAAAATGCTGGAAAGATTTCCCCATATACCTATTGCATAGCAAAGGATCCTCCTCTACATTAAGTGGTATTCCAATTCCAGAAGTTATCTACACAACTCTTAAGACTGAATTTACAGGTTCAGGAAATAAAAACCGAGTCAAAGATTTATAGATAACAGGAACTGCAGATGCCGGTTCTGAAGAAGGGTCTAGGCCCGAAACGTCAGCCTTCCTGCTCCTCTGATGCTGCTTGGCCTGCTGTGTTCATCCAGCTCTACACCTTGTTATATCAAAGATTTATAAGTTGATAATTTTACTTTTAGTAGAAATGAGAAAAAAAGATAGACAGCAGTATTAAAAGAGAGGAATTGAACTCCATCTGCTTCACAGGAACTAGGTAGTAACAGACTTATTGCTCCAAAATCATTCCACCACTTTTTCCCAGGGCCACTCCCCCACCTGTCCACTAAGTGCTTACTTGGTGGAAACATCTTTACTCTATATTAATCATGATATGATATAGGACTCCAATGCATTTTTAACTACCTACTGGGTAAACTTATCCAGCTGCTGCTCTGCTCAGTAAAACATGGTGGCTGGAGGGGAAGAAAGAGCGAGCATTTAAGTTACTTTAACGGACACTTTCAGCAAGTCCCCCGCTACCTTTCTGATTGTATCCACTTTTGTATTTACCCTGGATAGCTGGCGTACTGCACTGCCCCAGAGCTAGTGAGTTTCAGCAATACACACATTTGAGGTGTGCAGCTCACCAGCTCTATATTAATAAGGCCAGGTCTTCGAAAAGTACCTTTCCTCTTGCCACAAAGTCTACCTAGTCAGCCCATCCACTCTGCTGACCGACAGCTAAGTCCAATTTAGTGTGTAATTGTGGGCAATGTTGCACCACATGCTGTAGTGGTAAAAATTTGTTCTGTCACCACAAATGGCTATAGGAGTATACTTTTCTTTGGCTCATCAAGGCAAAAGAGGGAAAAAAATGTCATTACCCAGGACTGCTGTTTTGGAATACCTACATTTGCAACTAGTTAGAGAAGAATTAGTGGAAGTGAATAAGCAAGTTTCTACCTAGTTATACAAATCAGAAGATTATGCATGATGCTGGTAGCAGGGTACAGAAAAAGTTTTAAACTTAAAAACTAATTTTATAACTTGTCCAAAATCACTACCCAAATATCACTTTTCTTCCTAATTGGGAATGTTTTATCTTTTGAATTTGAAGGACAAAAATCCTGTTTACAATGAAAATGCAACACCAGTACCAAACTAAGTAAATTTTTGTCTCTATTCCATCATTCTTTGGAAATTTAGAGACTGAGCTTTAAAATGTAAATTTATTCTCACGTGATTGCTTGGTTTCACAAAAAAATTCAACTAATTGCAATCAGGTGTCCAGGTTGTTTTTTAAAAAAAAAATAATTCATTTACGGAATGAGGGAGTCACGCCTAAGCCAGCGTTTATTGTCCATCCCCAATTGCTCAAAGGGCAGTTAAGAGCCCAGCGCATTGGTGTAGGTCTGGAGTCACATATAGGCCAGACCAGGCAAGGATGGCAGTTTCCTTCCATAAAAGCTAAGTGAACCAGATGGGTTTTTTTTTCAACAAATTGACATTGGATTAATGGTCATCACTAGACTCTTAATACCAGATTTCTTTTTAATTGAATGAAAATTCCACCATTAGCCTTGGCAAGATTTAAACCAGGTCCCCAGAGCATTACCTGGATCTCTGGGTTAACAGTCCAGTGATAATACCACTAGGCTGTCACTTCCCCGCACATTAAATGTTGCTGATTCCCTTAAGGCATCAGCAATGTTAAACTGAACACTAATTATGCATGTTTCTGACAGAATGACCAGGTTTTAAAAATCTTACAGTCACATTCCAATAATTGACCTTTCTTTCACAATTTCAGCTACTTTTAAAGATTCAATCAACTGTTGGGAGGTGGTTCTGCGTGAGCAGAATATAGATGTAGTAATTTATTATTCTTGTAGAAGGAAATACAATTATTTAAGAACACTGCAATTGTGATTCCATCTGCCATATTTGTTACAAATAACAATCACCATCTCCTTTACTGTATTTCTTTCTTTCAATTTTCATTCCTTTTCTTTCTACTTTCTTTGCAATATGCACAATAAATTAGCTTAATTATTTTCAACTTGGATTAAAGTTCAATTTAGAGAAAACTCAAAAAGTAAACTATCATGCAGAATATATCTTTCTGGACTGACAACTTGATTTCATTACATAGATATTTGTATGAAGGACCTCCAACAGTCAGTGGCATATTCAACTGTGTTCTGTAGTGTAGGTATGTCACTGTATGGTGACACTCGGAATAGGCATAGCAATATAACTTTTTTGCCTTTCCTCATTCAGCAGTTGAGCTCATGCTTATTTCTTTTAAAAACTACAAAGTTTTGTAAAAAGCCATATTTTAATCTGCAACTCTTGGCAATTCTAAATAGCAAACATTTGACAGTCTCTAAAAACTTCCATAATGAATAATTCTAATGCTTTCATTTAGGCAATTACCTTTCATACTGAAAACACTGCAAAACACTTTATGCAATAAATTTCATCAAGTGCAGCAGCTATTATGTAGATAAAATCCACAGCCATTCTAAACTAACATTCTCTCAAAACTAATGTGACAATGTCATATTGACCTGTTTAAGTTATTAATTGATATATAGATGCTGACCAGGACACTGGAGAACATTGATTGTTTTGTCTTTTTAAAAAAGGTGCTACAGCATCTTTAACTGCACTGAATGAACAATCTGAACACTTCAGCTGAAGGACACTACTTTAATAATGCAGCATTTCTTTTGTACTAAAATGAGAGAGTGTCCTTCTAGATTAGTTGATAACACTTTCTTAATCATAGTTTCCACAGCCCAGATCACATTTTACTTACTAAACAAACAGTTAACTCCTCAATCTTTGAAAAGTGAGTGAAAGTTTCAATTAGATAAGAGGCAAGAAGTCAGTGTTTTTAGTGCCTGCTACCAACATTTTCAGTAAATCCAAAATACCCATTGCTCAAAAGGTATGACATGATAACTTTAGTAGTAACTTTTACTTTAAAACAAAAAGTACCTTTACAGTGTAAATTATGCTACAATGCTTCACAGATGTATTATTTGACATCAAATGACAATGAGAAATTAGGGCAAATAACCAAAAGCTTGGTTAAAAGGGGTGGGCTCAAAGAATGCCTCAAAATAAAAAAAAACAGGGAAACAAGGCAGTGAGATTTAGGCAGGAAATTCCACAGTAGTGCAGGACCACTCCAAAGGCTGGAATTGGAAGAGCACTGATGTCTCTTGAGTGTAGTAGGGCAGGAAAATACAGAGACATGGAATGGAGTGGACATGGAGGAATTTAGTAACAAGGTTGTGAATTTTGAAATTAAAGCTTTGCTTACCAATGCTTCAAAGAGCACAGTTTGACAGGTGAACTGAGCTGGATGAGAATTAGGACATGGCAGCAGATTTTTGGTTGATCAAAATTATGGAAGGTAGAAAGTGGGAAGCCAGTCAGGACTGCACTGGAATAGCCAATAAGAGTGTAACAAAGGGTAGGATAAGGACTTCAGCAACAATGGAGGTGAAGTAGCCATGATGTGGGTTGATGTCACAGTGGTACAAAATAAATGGTTTTTCTAATGGAATGGCTGAATGAGATGAATTCAAGGGTACAGCAGTGGGAAATTTGAGGAAGTTTGGACTGATAGGGTGGGGAAGTACAGAAAAAAAAAGATTGGATGGTCTCAATTTTAATGACAAAAATCATCTGGGAATTCTTCATATATTCTGGAAGCAAGGGTGGAGAAGATGGGAGCTCGTGGTGGTGATTATGAAGACAGTTTGCAGAAGAGGAAATTTAACTGGAGGTTTATCTTCAGGACAATTATGGAATGGTCAATAGTTTAGACAGGTTAGAGCTGGTTGTTTACGGTCTAGCCAGACTGCAGTGGATGCGTACATTACTTGTCAATCATATCCATTCAGATAATTGAGATTTAAGGGAGTAACCAAGATGGGAGATATTCAGGGAGGCATGAATGGTCAGAATATTTTGAAATCCATGTTGATTTTTCTCATTAACTGAAAACACACTTTAAGAGAAACGGGGAAATGTGAAAGAAATCTCCTCATGCAATTAACTGTATAATAGTGTCACAAATCAATCAGGAGGTTCAACCTCACATGCTGACTACCAAAGCATCTAGAAGAAAAGGAAACATTTCCACCGAAGCAACTTTTGTAAATTCATCCATGGAATGTGGGCATGCTGA